TTTCATTGTTAGTTTTTTTTTACGTGTGTTATTCACTGTGTGTGTTGTAAACCCTCTAATGGTTTTTGCTACATAAATTAATAACATTGTTAAAGAACAAAAAATTAACAAGTTTTATTTTATGGAGTACTGTCATTAATATAGTCTATATTCGAAGTAAAAGGTCGTCCATTTTTTCTATTTTTTGTGATATTGATAGCAAAGCCAAATGCAACGTAAAAGTAATACCCTCTCGTAGATACCGAAGAAGACGAGACTTTATGAAAAAATTTCCTAAAATTTACTGGGATATGTGGTAGTCAAAAAAGGGCTTGAAAGAGACTTACGTAATATAATTATCGTTGATGTGTCTGGGCAAGTAAAGACACGAGTACACAAAGACACTACACACACACACGAGGAGTGACAGAGTGTGCCAGTCATAGTCACACAAAAACCCTCCGACCCCACGAAAGGTGAAGTGAAGTGGACGTAGTGGTTGTTGTAGTCCTCACATCAACTTCCCACACACACACACACACACACCACACACACACACACACCACACAACACACACACACCACACACACACACACACAACACACACACACACACACACACACACACACCACACACACACAACACACACAACACACACACACCACACACACACACACACAGCACGATATTTATTTAGTAATGTCCGTCACCATGTCCCATGACCTTACCCAATGACTCTGTACTCGGACTCTAGTGTTGAGTTGTCCGTTACTGACTGTACACCACAGAAAAGAAAAAAAAAATATATATAAATAAAAGAGAATGAGAGCGGAAACAAATACTGTTTTTCAGTCTTTTTTTTCAGTAATGATTGTTGATATTTTAACATAATAAGTCAGATTCAAGGTCTTGCATCTGTTAAATTATTTTCCCTGTACAATCTTTTTTTCTCCAAATGTAGTTCAAAATGGTTTAAATCATGTAAAAAGTCAGGTAACAGCTGACAATCAGACAACCACAAAACACATTTAAACATGTAATAGTTAATATTTCAGTGAAAAGCATTTGGTTTCAAAACACCCATGAAGCTACCTTAAAAAAGAAATACAAATTGAGAAATTCACCCAGACGCCAAATGGCACGTCACCCTCCGTTTTAACGAGGAGCCATCACCAAACTGTAACCTTTGCCAATATTGTTTAAGTTGTTATGTTGCATCCTGGCTGCAAGGTAGAGACCACATTTGACAATCCAGGGGGGAGAGGAGGGAGGGGGGAGCTGCTGTATTGTAGTGCCTGCGGGCAATGCTCCCAGTCAATATATATGAGCGGAGTCGCTGCTGCGCGCCTGTTAGCGCGCGCTGCCCTCTCAGTGCAGACAGACCGGGACGCTCTCCAGGTACGGTACATTCATTACTTTATCACTTTAAAACAGCTTGTGGCATGCAAGCAGGTTATTTTAGAAGGATTAAGTTATCTTTTATAAAGTTACTTAGGCCTGGTGCATGGTGTTTTTGCACGCATTGAGAAACGTTTGTAAAGTGCACGACTTTTATTTTGTAGTTTTAAGTGCGAGGTTTTAATACGAGATTCATTTTGACTGTTAATGGAGTTAAATGGTTCATTTTTAAGACTGAATGTGTCTATTTAAAAATGTAATTCCGTTTTTTTATTTCCGTGTATGCAAATGTTAAGTTAAAATAATGCAATGCATGTCACTTCATTTTGAAATAATAAAACAATGATTATAAAATGTTATTTTAATGCATTTACTGTTGAAAAATAATGATTAAAACCTTTGAAGTAGCCTATACATTCATTATCTGCAGCATCATGTGAGGTTTTCCTATCAAATATACATTTCCCTTAATAATGTGTCTATTAATATAATTATTGAATGTATTGTGTTTAAAAATATGATTTAAAAAAAAAAGTTTAATTGCAATTGTTAAATTGATCACAACAGTTATTATATTGAAAAAGAAACTGAGATTCAGATGATTTATGACCATTTTGTAATCTTTCTTCTTTTCCAGACAACCAACTCATCACTCTGACAACCCTTCAAGGTAAAGACTATAACTTAAAGTATGCATTTATAAAAAGCTTTTAAAACTGTTTCAGTTTGAGTCATGCATTTACTTACTGTACAAACAGCCCGTCCCATAGGCGGTCAGTGGTGTGGTTGCTGTTGCATGTCAAAGCTTTTAGTGTGGTGAACCTCTTTAATTGGAACAATAGATGTTGAAGCGGTTAGGCTTGTTTGATCAGCCCTAAAAGCTTAAAACAAGACCGCAGGGTTTGGATATGGGGCGGCGGGGGGGCCAAAGTGCACATTCAGTGGAGAGGCGAGCGGATAGCAGTGGCCAGGAGAGGGGCAACAACTACTGTAAAAATGATTTTTATTGATTGGATGCAGCAGCAGCTGTTAGGCCCCATTATGAGCTCAAAGCTCAGGTCAGAGCCCCGGGGCGGACAAGTGAGCCAATCAAATGGTCAGCTCCAAAACGGGCCAATTCTTAGGGTCCAATTGGGAGAGCAGTTTGTAACCACCTGCCATCCTGAGTTAGTCTCACGGTGTCTTCCATCATCAGCCTGCGTGCTGCGGCTTTATAGATGAGCTTGTCTGCTGTCTCTCAATATCACAGGGCATCCATCACCTGTGTTTGCTTCACTGGTCTTTATATCAAAACTTTGTCATGAGCCATGAGTTTATCTTTACTTCAGTTTGGACCCTGAACGTCACACAGACTTTCATCTTTAAATGACCTGGGGAAAAAAAAGACAAAATAAGAGCCTCAGAGCAGATTGTTTTAAAGTGAGGAGCACACTCATCCTCACATCTTTTTCACCGCAGGGTTTACCCAACAGCCTGGCTTAAAGTATAAAAAGATCACAAAGTTTCTGTAATTTAACAGATGAAAACACATTTATTAAAATGTATTTTAGGGGTTAGGAAATTAATTAAAAGAAAGCCAATAGACAATGAAGAAGCAGAGAAGTTATGAAAAGAGAGATTATGAATGTGAGACTTTCTGTTATGTATTTAATAGTTTTATTGATATTGTAGATTGAGAAAAATATGGTCTTTTAATGTCATTTATGTGGAGCATATTAATGGTTCTTACTGCTGTAAATGCTAAAGAGGATCCTAAATAAAGTAATATATAAAATAAAGAGAGCCAGCGAACACTTAACATGAGTCAATCTCAAGGTACAAATACTCACTTTGTTTAAATCTCTGAATTTCAGATGAACAAGCTGTTTGCTTTACATTTCAAAGATGGAAGAAAGACAAAATAAAATAATTTAATTAAAAGAATAAAGGGAGAATGTCTGCATTAGATGTATCGCTGCTTGTACGACACAACAACTTCTAAAATAGTTACCATCACAATAACTAATGTTTTAAAAATTGACGTTGTCTACAATCTATCATCTATATCTTATAATGAAATGGTATTCTGTAATAAAACATTTTAATATTGCTAATTGAGTATAATAAAGTATGACCCGACTCTACATGCAGAGTACAGGAGAGCAGTTGAACTTGTGCACCGTGTCCTGACCCAGATCCCCGTCCTGGCACTAATGACGCCCTTTAGGCACGACGCCAGGCTCTCATTAGGAACCAGGCCTCAAACCCCCGACTCCTCTCCCCTCCATACCTGCAGCCCCTCAGCCTGGCCATACTGCGCCTGTAGCCGGCCTCCGAGGGTCCGGCCTTAAGCTCAAGCACGCCTGTTAGTGTTTTTGAGGGCCCGACGCACAGGTGCAGAGACCCCCCTGGCGGCCCTGTTTTGCCCCCCAGCCACGTACCCTGCTAGCGCCTGGTGCTGCACTGGAACTAATGAGTAGTGGCAGGTACAGTGAGAATGAGCAGCTAGGCCTCCCTGCAGTTAGGTTAGTGGCAACGCTCAGCGCAGGCAGACAACAAATGTGCTCTCTTAATACACATATGTGCATAATGATATATAGCACCCTTCAGTGCACAAATAACTTTATTGTGGATATTTATATTCCTTACAAATCTGCATTCCTGCTAGCTGTTCCTTTTTCTCAGAACAAATACATAGGTTAACATGTTATTTTGGTGCTTCTGATCTGCTGATGTTTTTGAAATATAATTTTATTCATACAAAATTGTCTTATGTGTTCGCAGGTTCAAGAAATGCTCTTTTTCATCGACGCAACAGAAGGATAAACAATGAAATGAACCCTGGCACGAAAGACATACAATCTTAAAATCTATCTTGAATCATCACCATTTTATTACAATTTAATCTTTAAAATATCAAGACTCAATCATGTCCAAGGACGACGCTTGTAAAGTGACGTCCATCAGCAAACACAAGGAACGCAAGCCTAAGAAGCCTCACTACATTCCCCGGCCATGGGGCAAACCATACAACTACAAATGCTTCCAGTGCCCATTCACCTGCATGGAGAAGTCCCACCTGTACAACCACATGAAGTACAGCCTGTGCAAGAACTCCCTGTCCCTGCTCATAGAGTCCGACTGGCCCTATAAAAAGGGCAACATCCCGCACCCAGAACAGCTACGACCCCTTCAGCAGGCACATGGGAAAAATGGCATAGAAGTGACACAGACTGAGGAACGAAAGTCCTTGGAGGAGGAAGGTGAGGACAGGGAAAGCCAGGGAGCAGAAGATGAGGAAGAAGGAGGACGAGGAGAGCGATTAGAGGTCACTGGGTTGAGGAAAGAGAGAGGAGACGCAGCAGAGTGCACTACCAAGAAAATCAAACAGCCAGAGTCTGAGCTTCTGATGGCCGACATGCTCTCCCTGGAAGATCAGCTTTTAAGAGCGCGCTCTGTAGAAGTAGAAGCCCAGCTGAAACACTACAAGCTATCCAAGGCATATCTGACTGCTCCCAGTCTGCTGTCGGAGCAGTGGCGGCTGTTGGCGTCCAGCCACACGAAGGCCAAAGCTGAAGGTACTTCAATCCCCTGTTACCCTCCTCCGCCAAACCTGATGGATTACCAGGATCCCACTGGACTCAACCTGTCATTGCTCGGGATGGGTTACCCCATCACCCCCAGCCTCTTCTCCTACATGAACTCAGCTATTCCCGCTGCCGCCGCCACCGCCGCCCAGACCCACGCTCAGCTCGCCCAGCTTCCCTTCCTGGCGACGGCCGCTCAGCTGATGCACCCGGCCTCGAGCACCCACACAGACAGAGCTCTTATCCCCTCTCGCCTCTACTACCCCTTCTTGTGCGAGCACGCGTTCGGACCGGCCTCGGGTCAAAGCGACGCCAGCAAATCGCTCAAGACGTCCACAAACAGTCTAGATGGGAGTCCCTCGTCTGGTTTTCAGCCTAAAGTAAATCTGTGGAAAGTGCCTGCTCTGCGGCCAGGGGCAGCCGCTGTCTCCCCTACTGGCTGGGTGTCGCCTCAGAGGGACTCCCCCGAACACGGGTACAGGTTGGCCGATAAACTGCAGCCTACAGCCAAGGAGGGCAAAGCAAATTGGTGCCTCAAAAGGACAGGGGCCCCAATTGGGAACCATGAGGCACCTGTGGAGAAGAAGCCGAACATGGGTGGTTTTGCTTTGGACCTTCTGAAGAATATTCAGACTGCATCAAATCTGAACATGACAGCAGACAAACTTCTCTTCCATGGAAGGTAAGGATTTCAAGTCAATACAATTTCATTATTTTATCAAGTCGCAGTACAAATGTCACTCTTATCCATCATTATCTAAAGTGAATAACGCAATTGGTTGATTTGTAGTTTTAAATGTTACATATTTAAAAATGCAAAAGTCCTAAACCTTTCGTATCCTCAGTTTACAGGATGCTCAGCTGCCGACACGGCATACTGATCTGTGGTACAGCGAACATCTCACCAGTCCCAGCAGTGAAACATCCTCTCAGTCTACCTGTGGGGGTCCCAACAGACAGGACCCGAATGCTGCCAGAACAATAGGGGAGGGGGCTTCAGAGTCTGTGGCTGCGCTCCTCAGTGACCTTTCCAAGGCCTTGCAGGAGTACCAGGAGGCTGAGCGCAAGATCTCCCACCTGGAGAAAGAGGACATTCCCGCCCAGCGTCACCTCTGGGAACACCTGGGAAAAATACGCAGCGAGCTTTCCCACATCCACACGGCTCTGGAGAGGTCTGCTCGCCAGAGCGACGGACCCCTCGACCTGTCGGTGAAGAGGGACCAGACGGATGTGGTTGGAGATCGCAGCACAAGAGAGGACGGTAAAAACAACGCCACAGAGACAGAAGAGGAGGATGAGGAGATGGAAGAGAAAAAGGAGGAAGAAGAGAATGAGAGGAAGGCGATGAAGGCGTCGCTGGAGAGTCGTAAGCAGTCGTTGGACATGCTGATCAAGATGAGTCAGGCGTCGGCAGTGAACACAGAGGTTCTCTCTCCCGGTGGTCTCGGCATGAGACCCAGTTCTGCTGAGGCTTTGTGGCCGAGCAGAACCACCAAGTGTGAGGCGGACTCCAGCGTATTGCTTTGCCCCGACGGACGATCAGTGGTGTTCACCGATATCCCTTCCTCCGCCAAAACCCCAAAGAGGCCCCTGTCTATACAGCGACTAGAAGCCCATCCTCCGAGCCCTTTGACGGCAACTGACAATTGAACTATTGGTCATCTGACTGTATTATAAGTGACTCAAATACAGATGTTTAAATGCCCATTCTTACGGGCATGCCTTCACATTTCACTGGCTTTGAGGAGGACTGCCACTCATCCTCACTTTAACGTCAAAAAGACCTCAAACATGTTGCACCTTATAAGACAAACCGGGAATGAATTTTGAAAAGAAGTCTTACAAAATGCACTACATTGATTGTTACAATAGGATTATCCTAAAAAATATTTTGAGGTAATGTCAGCACTTAACAGTAACTTCCATGAACTGTTAAGTCCATGAAAATCACGCTGAGAGACAATTCTTTGTATGGATGTGTAAATATTGTAATATAATAAATGTAAGTAAATGTTAAAAAGGGTAAATGTTTTTTATATGGATGATGTCATGTTGGACTCCATTATTTCACTTCATGACACTAAATTGTATTATACACACTGTATTTCTTTGAATAAAATAAGTAAAAAAACCAAGGGTTTCATTATTTCTTATGAACAAATAAAGGAAAAATGGGAATGGAGTACATTGTATAAAGGAAAAACAATGTATAGGCTATTTTAACATTATTTATTTGACTATAAGGCTGTCATCACTATTGTTTAAAGTCTAAATAAGAGACAAACAGACTCATACTGGCAGCTCAGCCTGTGTGCTGGCAGCTCCTTTAGCTAAATCTCCATCAGTGGGGTCACCTGTTCCTCTGCTCATGGATCAAGGAGCCCCGTTGCAAAGGTCAGGACCCCGGGGCCGAGCTCCACGCGAACTAAACGGCGGACTACCTGTCGCCCCCCAGGGCTGACCCAGGTCCACTGGCCCCTTCCCCGCCCTCACACCCACTGCCACAGAGGCAAAGGTCAGCCGCCAGGACCAGAGGAGCCCACGGTGGATGTTCAGCATGAAGAGGTCAACATGCCTGTCTCATCCAACAGTTATCTATTCAGTTTTTATATTGGTTGAATGTCTTGAATTAAGTCGTAAATCTGTTTGTAATTTTACTGGCTATAATCTATAAAAACAAAGCCATTTTCCTAACAAATAGTACCAAAAAGTAATTTACGTCATGCATATATTTATTAAAATATTCAAGCATCACGACAAAACGCCCACGGGCAATTCGATTTACTTAGAAGATTAATAAAACTTTTTTTTTTTTTCACCAAATAATAAAGTTAATTGGCTTGAACAATAATGTTTTGTTTCCATTTGCCTACTTATCTGAAGTTTTACAGTTTTACTTAGGGTCTCTTAAAAAGGTAAGTTTCCCCAAAACAATTAAAATCTAAATGCTGGCACAGTGTCTCTGACTGGTTTAAGGGTTTTTGCTAAAATGCCAATTTGGACATTTTATACATTTAAAGTATTGACGCACCATGTTTGATGAGCCTTCACTAGATGCAGGATCCAGGTAGATAGCTCCCTCTTGTGGAAAACATGATTTAAAGCCTTGTCTTAGTATGAAACTAAGACAGAATAATCAGTATATCTTTAAATAATATCTACAATGACTCACCATTTCACAACCTAGACGTGTGAAAATGTTGGGTATTGACTGTGGTATACGTACACACAGCTCTAAACAATAACATCCTTCCTCAAAAGGATTGCTGTTTATTTAGAGGTGCAAAGAGAACTGAAGCCAGTTCAAATAGGAAGTGCAGTTAGGTAAAGTAAAGCAGCATAAGAAGAACGACAAGGGGTAAGTTTATATTTTGTAATTGTTTAGGCTGCAACATGCTGTATATTATTACATTTTGAAGGAAATCAAAGTTTATTTACATATTAAGATAGTAAGAAGAAGTAACCGTGTACTCTAAGTAAGAAGAACAAAAAAGTAATATAAGTAAAAAGGTATTTTAGATGTAACTTTAAAGTGTCACATGAATATTAGTGGGTTTTCTCCCCCATACCGAAATGAAGGGTAGGGGGGTAAACCGTTTTTATGAAAAAATAATGTCAAGGTAAAATGCGTATAGTTCGGGCTACAAATATTAATTATTTTCATGAACATTTTTCTGCCATTCCAGTTTCTCAATGTCTTTAAATGTCTCGTTTTATCAGTCCAAAACCCTAACCCTACTAAAATTAAGAAAGTCAAATCGGGAAATCTCCAAACTTGAGGGGCTAAAAATCAGCAAAGAAATAAAAACACAAATCAAGAACTTAGCCTAAGTTACATTTTTTTATGATTTCTCAAAATGTAAAGAACATTAATTGATTAAATCCACTCGTATTTAAGAGAGCGCATCTCGTTGTCCCCAACAAGCAAAGATTATGAGATTATGGTTTGTTTAACCCGTGACGCATTTATGAACTAATATTTTTGTATTTCACATCCTTGTTGCAGTCAGCAAACAGAGCGTTCAGGGAAAGATGGTGCAAACTGCCCTCTTCCTTCTGCTGCTCAACACCTCGGGCTGCTGTGGTTTTGGCTTTAAAAGCTGCTTCATGTCCTACCCCGGGACTGGCAACATGTGGTGCTGCAGCCAGAAAATAGCTAACCTCACTGACGTCCTGAGCAAGATCCCAGATAACACAACCAAACTAAACCTGTCCAAGAATAAGATCTATGTCATCCCACCTGGATCATGGAGTCATCTGTCTGGGCTTAAATACCTGGACATGAGCCAGAACAAGCTGGCCTATCTGAAAGGAGGAGCATTCAGAGGCCTGGGTGTCCTGAAATTACTCAACCTTACCAGAAACAACATCTCACACATCAACTCTAGTAGCTTTGATGGGCTAAGTATGCTACAAACCCTGCTTCTGAATCGAAACAAACTTAGCACAATCTCTCCGGTTATCTTTAACTCCCTACCAGCGATTCAATATGTCGATCTGTCCAATAACATTCTCCAGAGTCTCAGCTGTGGAGACTCTGGTGGATCTTCTACTCTTCAGCGTCTTGATCTTTTCTCAAACAGCATCCGGATGATAAATCTGAGCTGTTTTCCTGCCCTGCAGCACATCACTCTGTCCTTCAACCCAAAGCTGGAGCTACAGTCTGACGTTTTTGCCTCCAACCCCAGGCTGAAGAATCTGCTTTGTGAGGGAGTAAAAGCCGAAGTGCTGATGGGACTCTCGGCAGAGACAAAAAGGAATCTCTCTTCGGTCTCATTTTCTCTGTCTTTGGAGGAATCTCCATTGACCATATGCGGGCTGCTGAAAGGAATGGAACAGCTTGATAGAGTTGAGGTTTGTGCGCTTGATTCTAATGCAAAATCTATATATTTGTTTAATGTCTTTAAAAAAACATTGTGTACATTTAAATGAATGCAGGTCGACTTGAAGAGATCCAGGTTACCAGAGACAAACTCCAGCCTCATGGACTGTAACACTCCAAGTATGGTGATAATTAATAATGCAAACCTCCAACATGTTACCCAGTTATCATTGGGCAGGGGTAATACGAGCAAACTTTACCTAAACAACTGTGGTTTGAAGCAGATATCTCGTACTACATTTGATGGTTACCCAGGACTGAAAACACTGGAGCTAAATAGAAATGCACCCGACATTCAGCGAGATACATTCCTAGGACTGAACCACCTTACGAGTTTAGCCATGGTCAGCTGCAGAGTTCGTGACATTGACCCCAACTGGTTTGTCTCTCTGAAGAAGCTGACTCGCCTGTCTCTCATTAAAAATGATATCAGTTGGTTGAGAAAGAATGTATTCAGCAAACTTAATACACTTGAGGAGCTCTACCTGCAGTTCAACATGCTGAAATACATCACCAATAAGCCCTTCAGTAAGTTGCGGAGGCTAATAAAGCTCAACCTCAGTTCGAACATCATTCTTTTCATCCAAAACCACACCTTTGAAGACCTTATCAACCTCAGGTAAGGAGTTTGCTTTTGTGTTCAACTTTTCTTAACTTTCCTCACTGTCCACTCATGTAACACATCCATCTGTACTTTAGATCTTTGAGCTTAAATGGGAACCGCATAAAGATGCTGTCAACAGATATTCTGTCTGGCCTGACCAATTTGAGGACAATGGTTATATACGACAACCGCCTCCATTTTAAGCACAATGAAGCCCCTTTCATCAACCTTACTTCCCTTGAGGTATGACATTTTCTTCAAGAGTAATATATTAACAGTGTTTATTGTTCAATCTGATGATCTCTTTATCCGTCTAACTTCCATGTCAAATTTTTAGTTTCTGGACATGCGGTACCAGGGGCCCGGACAAGAATGCATTGGTGTCATTGGACCAAATTTCTTCAAAGGTCAAAGCCGACTTCGCGCATTCAAGATTGGACAAAGCGGAAAGTTAGAATTCCACCCTGACGCCTTTGTTCCTCTGATCAATTTGCAAAACTTGATCATAGTCGGAGTGGCTATGAAAAAGACCAACCTGAGCGCAGCATTCTCCCCTCTGAAAAGTCTGAAACAACTGACCCTAAGAGCAGACCTCGATGTTCTCCCCGCTAACCTGCTGCCTCCAGATAACTCACTGGAGTATATCAAAGTTTGGTCAAACCACCTTCACACTGTGGACAAAAACATGCTGGATGCTCTGCCAAGGTGATGAGATAATAAAATGTCAATGCAAGCAACTCATGAAAGGATATTTAAACATTTGTAACATAACCCTTATTTGTATTCTTGCCAAGAGTTGGAGAGAGGATGGCTCGTTCAGTCCGAAGGCAAATCTGATATATATATATATATAAATTATATATGCTTTTCAAATCAGATTTTTCATAGACTGTTTTTTTATTGATTTGGAAGGACTAGTATGCACCTATCTGCATGATAGCTTACTACCAAAACTAATTCTAAACATTTAATACAGTAAGGGTTTTAAACATGCAAATGTGTAAGCAAACTATTTGAATGTAGGAACTGCTACTGTGTCCACTTATAGCCTACAGGCAGAGAGGTATTTGGGGTTAATTGGAATTTAATAAAACTGTCAAACTTTGTGTTTACCTGTGTGTTTCCAGATTGCTTGTATTGGACATTTCAGGCAACCCGATCAGCTGTAACTGTGATAATGCCTGGTTCAAGAACTGGGCCATCCACAACACTCAAACAAGGGTAAAAGAAGCTGCTGACATTCTCAAAAAAGTATTAATGTAGGTTATGCATTAACTTAAAAGCACAAAGCTGTACATCTATTTTATTTTGTTCCCCTTGTAGGTGTCCTTCCTGTACGACCTTCGGTGTGACGAGGAAAGGAAATCTCCCTTCCTTTGGCAGTTTGACGAAAAGGCTTGCTCCTTTGAATATGTTTCCTTCACCCTCTTCATCGCCTGCTCTGTTGTGGACATTTTGTTTGTATGTGTGTGTCTGGCCTGGCACACACAGGGCCCCACCGTGCGCTACCTGCTGCTCGTCCTCAGGGCCAAACTACGTGGACGTAGAAGTGCCAAATTCCAGTATGATGCATTCATCTCCTACAGCTCTAAGGATGAGGGCTGGGTGATGAAGCAGCTGGTTCCCAACCTGGAGAGGCCTGCTGCAGGTGCACCCCCCCTCCGGCTGTGCCTCCACCACAGAGACTTCCGACCCGGCGCTGCTGTCCTGGAGAACATCGAGGCCGCCATTTACGGTTCTCGCCACACCATCTGTGTGGTGACGCGTAATTTCCTGCAAAGCGAGTGGTGCTCCGTGGAGTTTCAGCTGGCCAGTCTGAGGCTTTTATACGATGGCAGTGACGTCCTGCTCCTGGTGTTCCTGGAGGAGATACCTGAACGCTGCTTGTCTCCCTACACACGTTTATGCAAGATTGTTCGCAAGAAGACCTACCTGCTGTGGCCGGAGGAACCGCAGGAGCAGGACACCTTCTGGGTCAGACTGGTCGATGCTTTGAAGGACAAAGAGGAGGAGGAGGGAGAAGGAGGTGGAGAACATGATATGGCACGTCTAATTGGCTAGAACGAATGCTACATATTCAACCTATCCCTAATTCAATGTTCACAGCCTGACCGATGCATTGATGCAATCCAACATAATATGGCAATTTTTTGTTGCTCGAGTTACTGAGTTAAACGTTTTGTTTTCATTTAGTTGTGGCTCGCTTCTTGTTGACGTCATTGCTGCCTAGTAAAAAGTGGAACATGCTCAAAGCAGGGTACTTTCCGGAGAAGATTATAATGGTCTGTTAGTTTGCATTAAGTCTTGATATATGAAGTTGGTTTCCACATAAAAAGTGAGGACTTGGAAAGTTCTATAATTACCTTTTTTTTTTGGCTTTTAAAGTATTGTGTGCGCTGTTTTTATGAAATGTTCTTAAACGTGTTTTGTTTTATGTATTTTCTCATGAGAAAAAGGAGAAATATGTAGTATGAAAATGCACTCAAGGGCAGTTAAGTCCATTTTATATTTCAAGCATTCTGTAGACTGAACCAATCTGTTTGAAAAAAAAGGATTAAAGGTCATTTTATACCATAAAAGCTAGCATTAAAAATAAATATATATTCATTTGTTCTATTGCTTTAACATTACTGTTGTGTTGGAAAAAATGCTACATCTACGACAGTTGACTAAGGGGTCTTCAATAAAAAAAAGTGTCTAAAAAATAAAACTATAACTCCAAAACTTCCAAACACTTCATTTATTTGACGTCATACATTCAAATGAAAATAAAAAATATTCATATATATTTAATATAGAGCTAGTGAGCAAGGTCCAAGTTTTAAACAACACACAGAAGCCTTCCGTGTAGCATATATATATATATACAAGGCATGGTTTGAATACTATACAGTGTGTATCCATAGCTGCACAGGTTTCATGGATGTTTATATTTTTCACTCAGTTGAGGCACGACTATTTCAGTGAGAGGTCAGGGATTGGGCCGAGTGCTTCAAGACTGCCGCTTACAGTAAAACATTTCAATCTCAACACCTAAACAGTAGGACTTGCAAAGCAAAGCTTAGTAGTGTTAAAGAGTTCCACACTGAAGCAAAAAAGTAGGAAAAAGAGGCAACATGACCATTCTGCAATTCAAAAAGGTACTGTACAGTCATGCAACGTCCTAAATAGTTCCTGTTTTCTGAGATGATATTTTCACGCTAATCAAAACTGAGCAAACACAAATCCAGGTTCAAAGAAAAAAAAGTCCAGTATCACTAACAAGTCACGGTTTTCCACTACATTTGACAGAAGTTAGGGTGTTTGGTTGCACTGCAATACATGACTTGAAGTCACTACACCAGGTTGAGACAAATAAAACAAAGCTTCCTCAAGTAGTCAAGTGATAAGTGCAATCCCACCCCTCTATATCCCCCTTCACACAAAGACACTCCATTTTTATAAAACTCTCATACATAAGCAAGTTAGCATCACATTGTTTTCCACTATCAATCAAACCATAGTTATAGTACAGCAGATGCCCCAACAATCAATAGCAAACCTTACTCTAACATATATCCAGTAGTTATGTACAACAGAACTGGTGCAACATTAAACCCATACAAAATTATTAGATATAGAAACTGTAACAATAATAAAATACAGCAGATACTTAATTCATATTGGGAAATATATATTATTTATACTGTGTATTGCTGTCGTTTTGGCATTATAGAGGATCAATAAAAAGGCTGTCATGTATTCCTCTCACAGCTTATTTGACACATCTCCATGTTGGACAGATTATACGTCTATGGATTCTTAAAAAGAAAAATGACACAGGATTGATTCAATAAAAGTTTTTCACCTAAAAAAAAAATCTAACAAAAATATGACCACTAATAAGAAGGATGGAAGCAGCAGGTCTTGGTTTTGACCGTGACAGATTTTTTTCCATTTCCTATACAAGTCTTCAGCAAATGCTGGCATGGCCGTACCATCTGACCGAAAACTGAGGTCAGGAAGAAAAACTGAAACTGCAGATTCTTACAAATTTAAATCTTTTTGGAATCTTTTGCCTCAAAAAGCTTCATACGCTCCTGCACCGTAAGTCCCTCTTTCAGGCTCTGTAGAAGAAGAGAAAAGAAGGTTATTTATTCTTCATAATTGACAAACGCATGTGTGCAGAAAACAAGAGACATGCACAGACATCACAAAACAGTTGTGTTTGTCAACTTTTTCTGATCTGGACAGCACACTATATTTTAATGAGCGATCTACGAAGGTTCACTCCACACAGAGAGCACACAATGCACTACTAATACATTCAAAACTCACAAACAGACATAGACAACAATTACAGACAAGGTTTTTACAATAAAAGTGTCAGTTTGGCAGTAAATACACAGGTTACATCATTAAATACAATATATATGTAAACTAAAACTCTATATCCTTAAGAGTTTGATTTATAAAGTAACACCTAGACTGGCTTGGTCCAAAGACAACACACAATCCGCCAACATGCCCGTTTAAAGCTCACTACCTAGCACAATTTGATTTTTTGTTTGATGTGTTAAACTTCAGTGTTTGTACCAATTATACAAGTGAGATCATGTTTTCACTTGTGAGCTTTAAAAGGGGTTTGTCAGCATATTAGTTTTCACCTGGCTACAGAGGTTTCCCTTTCCCCCAGTCATTATGCTAAGCTAAGCTAATCAGCAGGCTGTAGCTTTACCTGATTTTGAGCAGTATCAAAAAGGTTTTTCAAAAACTTCTAGCCTGCTAATGCTCAAGGTCTGTGATACGGCGGGTTGGTTAAGGGGGAGGGAGGGGAGATCATGCGAGGGTGGTAGGGGCATGCTTTGGGCTACATCATGCTATACCTACAGAACATCTTGGGGCGGGGGTTGGGGGGGGAATCACCCCACAATGGGAGTGTCAGCTATCCCATGATGCCTGTTCAATGACAGACTGATGGACAAAATAGACAAGATGACAAAATGTACAGGACAAGAGACTTTCAGTAAAAATGTCCTGAGCAACTGTGCAACACAGTGTGTGGTGGAACGATTGACAGTGATGAAGTCTACACGACAACTTCACAATACACAGCAACTCAAGTGGCAGCTTAAAAGTGTGTGGATTTACTCCATGTTTATGTTTGAATTTGGGACAGATGCCTGTAAATAAGAGACATTTTTTATTGAACTTGACACTTACCTTTGACCTTAGGCCTCTTGATTGCTTGGCGGCGTTTGATCGTTCCTTTTTCAGGAATTCTGGATTACTTTTTGATTTCATGATATCTAAAAAAAAAAAGCACTACAGTTTAGCCAAAATAGTACCTGGGGTTCTCTATACAGGGATAGGAATAAAAACATGCATTTAAGGGTTAATGATGCTGACCTCAAAATGAGCTTCACCTTTATGTCAAATCCAAATATATCATAATAAATTACATGGAGCACAAACAGGGCGATTCTGTCGCTCTTTGATACAGTTATCCATGTCCTGTATATGCACACCATTTTAAAATGTATATTTAAACATTGTTTACATTTCCCTATCTCGTGAAAAACTACTATAATACAGTATTTTCCCCCTGACTGGCTCAATTATTTATCAAGCTTTAGAAATGTTTTGGTAAATCCAATGGGATGTAAAATAAGGTTAAACTTCGTAATTACCGTATCCAGGTGTGACTGTTCCATCGACGTTCCTCTCTCCTAAAGCTTCTGTTGCAATGAGCAGCTTCTCCTTCAGTTTGCTGATGTCGCAGTCAGCCTTTGCTTTCACAATGCTGAGCTCTGTGTAGATGTCTTTGTATTTTTCTGTGGCATACTTCTTGTCCTGTTGTAAAGTTATCAATGCAGCATTACTAAAATACACAAACATGAATATGTTATCTATCTAAAGATTGGTTTTGCTTACCCTTAAAGCAGACTGCAGTTCATCTTTCAAAGAGTGGATCTCCTGCTTAAGATACTGGATCTCTGACTCCTTAATTCGTAGCAACACCTACAAGATGGGCAGAACGGTCATAAGGCAAAAGTTCCAATCCTTACTGCATGTGTGCATTGTTTGTGTTTAGACATACCTCAAGTTCATACACATCTTTTCCCTGGGTAAGTGGTGACATTGCTGTTTCTCCACTGAAGCAAGAGCGCATCCGAGTGATCTCTGTAGTCAGTCGGTTGTTTAGTTCCTGTTGGAGAGAATAAAGTTTAGTTTAAATCCATGGACAGAAATGATTTTTATAGGTACATGTGCATGTGTGCAATCCAACCTGGTTGTGAGCGTTGAGCTCCTGGTTCTCTCTCTGACACTGCCTGAGGGCCTGCCTCTCGGCCTCCAGGGCCTGGGCCAGGTGAGCGTTCTCCAGACATTTCTGCGAGTACTGCTCCGACAGCACCTCCAGTTCTCTGTGGATCGACTGCAGCTCCTCCCTGGACAGGCACGTCATCACAATATCAACCACAGTTCTCATTTGATGTTCACCAAACAAGTCTAGAATGAGGTGGACGTAATCATAAAAAAGGGATTTTCCTTAAAAGCTTTTATTTGCTCCAGTTTTCCAGCCGCTGACAAGCTGCCAAATTCTTATAGTTGCCAATCCTGCAACAACATGGGGATTATCTGCAAATCCACCGAAGTAGTACTACTTGTTTAAACCTCAGGGCTCTTAAACCTAAATAGAGATTTACATTTTTTTATATTTAACTATTTAACATGGAATATCTTAATAGTTTTCGTATTCAAAACATACTCGTATTGTAAGCGCAGTTCATCAATGTCAGCGTTCAGTCCGCTCAGTTGGGAACGATGGGTCTTGTTCAGTTCCTCCTTGTGTGCATTCTTCATTGCTTCAATAGCTACATTTAAAAAGGAATCACATTTAATTATTGTACGCTGGTTTTGTTTAAAGTTTAGAAATCACGGGTGAAAAAACGGTTTAATTACCAGCAATTGTGGCAGCAGTCTCCTCAGCCAAAAGTCTCTCTCTCTCTTCCATAAGCTTTGCGATCTCCCTCTGATGCTGCCTGTGGAGGTCATTTATTACCTTGTGGTGTGTGTCTTCCATTGTTGCAAAGCCACGTTCACACGTAGCCTAGAGGAAGAACGGATAAAGAATATGTTATTGCAAAATTACCTTTGCATTTACCAGCTACAGTATAATCTAATGTGTGACTATTCATGAAGTCCAATACCTATTAATCATTCACTAGGCTAAATGGTGTCATGCAAAATCAGTGATAGAATCCATGCAAGCTTTAATGGTGTGAAGCCCAGCTATGTAAGAGAGTGAGGCAAAGCTGTGACATTTTAATCCATCATAGACTGCATTTTTGTCATTAATAGACTGCACCTCCTTCTATGATTGAATGTAGGAAATCGTTTGTCTGTTAATGCCCAAATCAAGAAGCAATGTTGGTGGCAATCGAGCCATGTTACACTTTTAGTATTCAGGATTGTACTTAAGAAGAAACAACCTGCAACATATTTCCTTTCTTTATTATGTAAAACTACCAGGGATGTCCCACCCTGATCCAGCATCTGTTTGGTCTATATAATGCCAAACTTGTATTTCCATGAGTTCTGTACCAACTACAGAGAGCATTAAAGCCTGCAGTTTCAAGTTAGTTTTGCAGGTATTTGGTCATAAAATGATGTGTTGGACATATTGGCAATTCATCCAAATGTTATGAGACAACGGGATGATTCAGGGCGTCACCACAGTCATTAGGGTTCATCACCTGGGTACCATGGATGGCTCTGGCCAATTTCATACCAATCACAATAAAATGATGATACTCTTGACTGGCTGTAAATCTAAAGTCAAGGTAGCCAAATGTGTGGATAAACTTTACAAACTAACCTTACAAACCCTAGAAACATGCAGCTAGTATGGTCGCAATGTAAGCAAACTGATGCCATCTATGATGCAAGATTCAGACATTTACAAACAATCTCGAAAGAAGTCAATTCAATCGCTCTGGGCATATTAGTAGATAAATGGACAAAAGCAGTTTGTTATTATGCTATCTAACTTTCAATCTAATACTCTCTCACTTATGTACAACCAAAAAAATCACTACAGTATAATGAAAGAGCAAAAACCTTAAGACTCTCAAAGTCTCTCTGGTATTTCTCTCTCAGGCTGGCCACATCTCCTTCTAGGTGCTTATTCTCCAGTTCGTCCTTCATGGTGCTCATCTGAGCCTCCAGCTCCTGGATCCGGTCCTTCAGAACCAGCATGGAGTCCACCTCTGACCTGGTATGTGCATCCTCCCCCTTCCCCTGCTCCTCCTCATCCATTGGCGTAGGGGCCTCATCACAAGGAGGCGAGCGGGAAACCTCAAGACCTTTATTGTGCTGTTGGATACATTGAACGTTTTCCATATACTGGGAATGTAACTTTTCCATCTCCTCTTTGTGGATTTGCTGGAGCTCACAGATCCGCTGTTCAAACCGCTCTTCCAGTTTCCTCACGTGACCCTCGTGCCGCCCCTCCATGGTTTCCATGTCCACCAGCAAGACTTCTAGCTTTTGCTGACTGTCAGCTGTGGTGTCCATGAGGGCCATCTCTGTGGAGGCACGGCCTTTCTCAGCTTGGCTTAGCTCGTGCTTATGCCTCTGTTTTAGCTCTTCAGTGTCCTTCTGGAAACGTTCCTCCAGGAGAGCCAGTTGGTCCTGCTGCTGTGAAAGCTGGTTCACACGTTTGCTGATCTCACTCTTAAGCGTATGGTTCTCCTTCGTGAGAGTGGAAACTGCTTGTGTTAGGTTCAAGCGTTCCTCCTTTAATGATGCTTCATAATTTTCTTGGATTGCGTTGACTTTTCGGGCGTGCTGTTGGACAAGAGCATCCATGTTTTGACCTGTCTGTTTGCACCAGCCCAAGTCTTGTTCATGCATGGCCTGTAACCTGCATGCCACATAAGCTACCTGAGCCTGGATTAGGGCGTCGCGCATACAGACAGAGGTACTTGTTAAACCACGTGATGTTTGGTGGCCCAGAAGACCGTGGATCATTTTAGCCAGTCTAGGATGGTTTCCACCATTTTCTATCTCTTGAGCAAACTTATGGAGGATTTTTGCTTGTCTTTGAAGCTCATTGGCCAAGTTGTCATGTGCATGTTGCAGCGATTCAATATAATTAATACCACAAGAGGGCATTTCTCTAGTCAAATGTCTGTCTACGACTTCCTCAGCCAAGTCTCTAGCCTCTTCCATTTCAATTTGCTCCATGTAGGGCGCTAGTTCAGGGGGGGAAATGTCTGCTAACTTTTGTTCACCAAACTCAAAGTTATTTTTGACTTCTTTTATTACATTGATCAAATCAGGCCTTTTGGAAGCTTCAATAATTGTTTTCAAGGCCATTTCCCTTTGATGCAGGTTATCATGAGCCTCAGTTATCTCCCTTTTCACTATTTTGAATTTCTCTTCATAGCACATTTTAAGGTTTTGAACAGAGTAGGCTAGCTCAGCTTTAATTAAAGTGTTAAAGATAACGGTGGAATCAACATCTACATCAGCTGAAACACTTTCCTCTTTGGATTTAGCAACATCCGTCTCAGCTTTCTCCAACTCTTTCCAGAATGAACTTTCTAACATCAACTTCCTGGTCAAGACATCAGCATACACTATAGCCAAGCACTCTTTGTCACCTCTTTGAATGTTCTCCAAGTCTTCCCATATCTCGGCAAGAGATTGTAGGAGGTCAGACTTTGATGTCTGTAATAACAAAGCCATTTTATTCAGAACAACCGCCTCAAACGATAACGTTTTGGCAAAGAGGTGCAAAGCTTCTTTATCTAGAGTCTCTGGGGTTGTATTCGTATGGACAACTGGTGATTGCTCCTCAGTCGTTTGTCCTTGTCTGATGAACAGTGATGCATTGAACAAATGGTTCTCTATCTCTGACAATGAGTGCAGCTGCGAACCGGTGGTAACATGAGAGCCATTAAGAATAGTCCTGACTTTCTCTCGACTGCTTTCCACACACAACAGGGCCTTGGCATAATGCTTATTGATAGCACTACTCTGTGTCCCACTTCCATTACTAAACTCCTTATTGGGGTTAGGATTTGTGTCTGTCATCTTTAGATCATTCTTAGACGCGTCTTCTGCTTGGTTGGATTGCTCTCCTACATTTTGTGTGAGGTTTCTGAGTGTATCCTCGGTGGCTAGCAGCTTAGTCTCTAGGGCGTGTATGATAGAAATGAACTTCTCTGGGTCACTACTGTGAGAGAAAGTAATATCAGAGATGTTCCCTTTAGTAAAATCAGTATCTTCCTTAACATCCTCGTTTACATTTTGTGTTGTGTCTGCAAACGCAGTGCTCGCATTGATAGTGTCCATGCCCTCGAGACTTATGTATTTCTGGCACTGAATTGTGGAAAAACGTATCCTTGGTCTCTTAGCTTGAGACTCCTTATCATCTTGGGAGTTCTCCGTCTTGGATGAATTGTCATAGGTAAGTAAGAGATCTGTGTTTGCTGCTAAGGAGGCGGATGTTTTAAGCCTTGCCTTCTTGCTCTTGTCTGGGATTTGCTGCCTTTCCATGCGTAGGTCAGCATAGCCCAGCTGCAGGGCATTAAGATGCTGCTCAAGTTCTGCTATGCGATCCTCCGCAACAACTAGCTTGGCCTGCAGGTCCTTTTCAGCACTACAGGGTTCAACTTTATCCAAGAGATTTTGACTCATATGAGAAAGAAGCTCCTCCTTAGCTTGCAACTTCTGTTCAGTTTCCTCCAAGCTGTTGCCAAGTGCAGCCATTTTAATAAGCGCTTCTTTCAAATCCTCTTCCTTGCGTACCATCAGCCTCTCGTACATTTCCTTAGTCTGCCGGATCTCCTCCTCTTTTTCTCGTAGGAACTGGCTCATTTTCTGAAACTCTTGAGTAGCCCTCTCATAGGAGTGCTCTAGGGTGTAGTAATCAGCTTCTTCTGTTTCGAGACGATTGCGAAGCTTGTTCACCTCACGGTCTGCTTCTGCTATCTGGTTAAGAAGCTCCTGACAGCGGCAGGTGAGATGGCCTTTCTCTTCTTCTAGCCTGCGCACACTCTCCCTTAGTGACTCCACCATGTCAGTCTTCAGGGCCAGTTCCTCTTGCAACTTCAGCATTTCCTCCCTGCTTTCTTTTGCCCCAGAAGCCTGCCTGCCTCTCAACAAGGCCTCGACCTGCTGCTCAGCCTCTAGCACACGGAGCTCCATCTCTTTCTGTGCAGTTTCAGCCTCAGCTAATTTTCTACACAGATTCTGTCTTTCCTTCTCATGACTCTCTTGCAGGCTATGCTGATCCTTCCTCAGGCGCTCTTCCTTTAGTGCTTGACCCTCTTCGGTAACATTTATCCTAGCAGTGACCTCTTGCAGCCGCTCCTGGAGCCGTTGAATCTCTCTAACATGGTCTCGTTGCAGGGCCTGCTGGCGCTCCAGGTGCCTGAGGGCCTGGTTTCTCTCTAAGAGGCTGGCTTCTACTTCACGGAGTCTATCTTCACTGTCCTTTAGCTGGGCGCGTAGTGTGGCCTCACCGCGACCATATTCATCTTCTTGTTCCTGTGAACGTTTCTGCTCTAGCTTGAGCTCATTGCGCATTCTGGCAACAGCCTGTTCACTCGCCAAGATTTCGGCCATTGCAGATGCTAGTTTAGTCCGCAGAGCCTGAATACCAGACTCATGGTGGTCTACCGCATCCTGGGCTTCAGAGTAGCTTCTCTTTAGTGTCCGAATCTGCTGCTGAGCAAGATCCTGCTTTTGCTTTTGGGTTTCCAACTCGCCCTGCAAATCTTCATTAAGCGCGTGCAGGCGCTGCCACGGCACTCTTTGCGGTGAAGAGGAAGGGGATGTTGCACTCTTGAAAAAGATTGATGAAACAATTGTATTAATTACATCCTTATTTCACCTACCATATACGGAGAACCACATCTCGGGGGGAACCAGGAAAATAAGTTTTCCTCTCTTGATTTGAAGCTTTCTTTTGAAGCTTTTCCCAAACTTCCACTGTGCTTTTTCAGAGGTGACTTGAAAATGGAAAGGTGCGAATGAAACCCTGCCCCCCCTTCCAAAAAAAAAAAATAAAAAGTACCTTGCTGGGTCACTGATATAATGATTTATAAAAAGTAAATAAAAAGCAGACCATCTACTTAACTTTCGCAAAGTTAAGTAGATTTATTCAACAAAAAACGACATTCTGATTCTATGATAAATAGTAGTAACTTAAAAATGCACAATGTAAAAAAGCAGTTAAAGTATGCAATTCTGAAACACCAATAAGCATGCAGGAATCAAGCTTGGAAAGGGTGCACAGACAAAGAGAGAAAAAGCACAGCGCAAGGCTCCTTGATCAAGTTTCTTACCTCAAGCATATCGGATCAAATCAATTATTTCCCAGGAGATGTGAAACTCCGTAAAAGACAGTTAATGAAAACTCATGCTAAGAACACCACAACCATGCGTATCAGTTTCAGAGGTAAAAGCACCCACACCTGTTAGTACAATATTATATAAGTTACAGTAGCCATACATAATACATCTGATATATCATGAGCTAGTACACCTTATAACAAAAATATAATCTATACAGGTACAAACTTTTACTGTGCCACGTTTGACTCAGGATTGATTTCTCTTAATAAATGTTGGAATGCTATTTGTACATGTTGTCGATAAACCAATACTGATCCTGCAGTATGGATGGTGAGTGTAGTACCTGCAGCACATAGCCCTGTCTGGCACTGTGTTCCCTCCCAAGTGCATCCTCCAGCTGCTCTTTTAAAACATTGTTTTGCTTCTGCAGTCGGTCCAGCTCCTGCTGCTTCTCTCCCAACTGGGCAAAAAGAAAGAAGTAGAAGAAACAATGAATGACAAGATGCTCCAATACCATTAAAGGTGGGGTAGGTAAGTTTGAGAAACCGGCTCGAGATACACTTTTTGTTATATTCCATGGAATGCTCTTAACATCCCGATAGCAATGAATATCTGAAGTGCTTTGACAAAAAATCCATAAAAGAATGTCATCTGTGGAAGCCGTGGCGCTGTAAAAAGCACGACCAATCATCTGAGCCGGCCCGGCTAAAGTAACTGGATGGCCTACGTGCCTGTCAGCCTTCCATCTGTGCACAAACTTATCTCGTGCCCTCATTGGTCATGTGCGCGTTCGTGTGTGTTGGAGGAGGGGCTCTGTAAGGAAGTGGCAGATTTGTTCCGGCTGTGTATTTTCAAATTCTAGCGCACTCGAGCTGGTTTCTCCAAAATGACCTACCCCACCTTTAAGATGTAAATATGACCATAGTGAAGAAACGCACCTCTTTGTCTAGCAGCGCAGCAAGCTCATCAGCCGGCAATCTGTCAGAGTTACTAGAGTTTCCTGAAGCTGTGTTGATGGCAACTTGCTTCTCTCCTCTTAACGGCGTCGTCTCCACCTGATGCCACCGCTGCTCGATCTCTTGATGGACATCCGGGTTTTTATTTTTCTTCTTATCTTCACTAGCAGGATGCATCGCAGCTGGGTGGTCTACTTCCATCTTTCCTTGCTCATGGCAGTCAGGTATCGATGGCGGTACTGGTGATGTCGTGTTAAGCGTGGAAGTCATAGTGACGGTAACAGTATTTGGCATGTGCGGGGCACTGGTTGTGCCATGTGGGAGGACGCCCCTCCTAACGCTCTCCTTTTCTGCTTCTGGGGTCATAGAAGGTGGGTGAGCACCTGACAGAGAGGAGGTTTGGAGGGAGGAGGTAGAGATAGGAGAGGACGCTAATGAGGAAGGCGTAGAGGAGGTAGAGCAAAATGAGGACGTTGTAGAGAAAGATGACGTGAGGTCCACTGTGTCCGCTCGCTCGTTTGCTCGCTTTTCTGTCTGCTCCATTTTAAACTCGGACCAGTCAAAAGTCTTGGAGCGACCTTCTCGTCTGCGCTCACGGACTCGGCTTTTACGTTGCTCGGAGAGAGGGCCAGAGGCGTTGCTTCCAGATGTCTGTGTGTGGACGAAGGACTTTGGGGCTTCAGGACTTGTGCTCAGCTCAGGTGAGCCCTGTGGACACGGCTCTAACATCACGTTGGCCTTCTCTTCGGGGAGGGATCTGTATGAACAAAGGCACAATAAAAGGAAACATATGTAAGAGGATGTTACCAGAAAAAGATGAGGAATGTTTACACATATATCAGCTCAAGCTCCAATACACTTATATAAAGCTTTGCAGGACAGACAAAAATGTATATATTCGTTGCAGAGCAGCATCCTTAAATTGTGCTTTAAAAGCATGGTAATCAGTAAAATGCCTCAAAGTCAAACCATTAACAACAAAATGCTTATATGGCACTCTGCAACAGACTGAAAGCAGCTTCGGTTTTAACAGTCGTGATCTGGGGTAAGCCTGATGGCAGACGTCGCCTTTAGCTGCTATGCTAATGCTATTTGTATACAGTAGTGGCTTAATGTTAAGAATGTGTTGATGGGCGAAGTGACCTGATGGAATAATCTATTTTTGCCACGTTGTGTGTGGAGGTGTCAGGGAGGTATGAGTAAGGGGGAAATGAGAAGGGACAGGGCTCAAGAATGAGAAAGAGGTGTCTCTGAGGCGTCTTTGCAAAAATACCAAAAGTAACACACATTCTCCGCTTGGAGAGAGTTGCCTAAGATACACTGGCAGAATGTTTAAATCTGTGAAAGCGGGTAATAGGGTGTATTCAGTGTCTTGTGATGAGCCGTCTGAAAAGCAATACATGGCTTTTTAAAGCACAAAAATAAATGCTTAGGTAGACACAAAAATATCCTCAGGAGAACAGTTTTTGAGAAATTACAGGAGAAAAATAGACCCTCCTCTCCCTATCCACTAAAGACCTTTTCTATCTCCTCTATATTGTTGTGGTTTTGTGATAATCTTCCAAACATACCGAGTGGACCGTCACACTACAAGGATCATCAAACGCTCTGCTGTTGATCAACAGAAGGTCGGGTAGGTTATTCTCGTATGTTGATGTGATTGAAGTGTGTGTCTCTACAGTGGCACGACTGACAAGGAGACGTTACTCAACAATCACATGACATAGGGCGGGACGACAAACACGCTGGGACTGACATTGCTGAGCAATTACATCACTGTTCGAGGAGGGGGAGATATTCAACACACAAGCACTCCAACCTGGGCTTCAGAACGGACAGTTTCAGAGAGATGTTTTTCCTGGAAGCAGGTTGGAAATACCGGTTGAAGGGGGGGAGGAGAGAGAAGGGAAAGAGAGGGTGAGGAGGAGAGAGGGATTTAAATCAAATGAGTGAGAAAAAGCAGTAGTTTTATCTCCCAGTGGTTTAAGTGTTAATCCTCTTTGGGTATTACCGAGTGACATCAGGGGCAATAGTGGGTCGCACATTCGTCATGATGGCCTGAATCCAGTTGCGTCGGATTCCAGAGGTCATGGCCGACAGGGTGCACGCTCCCTCCTTACACTGAAAACAGAAAGGCATTTCATTTACATGAGTGATAGGGATGTGACAACACGGCGATTAAAACACCTTTGAAACGAAGCCCTCGTTTTTGCACAAGCCTCAAATAGAAGAATTGTGGCGTTGCCTAGACGATGTAAGGCTTTTTGTGTTTCAGGGGATAGACTTATTTGTTGCTACTGGTGGGTAGACAAATTATAATTACTGCATTAGATGACGTTCAGTAGCTTCTTACGAAGGATGATTTTTTAAAAGCAGCTCTCATGCAGAACACTTCCTACTCTAAGGAATACATCTAAACCTCTACGTTCTCCTTGGTTCTGCTGCTCATAGCTCAGTTCTTTTTAACAGTATAACAAATGGAAAAGAAAACTGCAGAAGAGAACACTGGCCTCACTTCTCCTTTACTCTACATTGTTGTGCTGTTAGTCTACACTGAGCTCATGTTTATAAAGCTTAAAGCAGAACATCACACTGACAGAAAGCTAACAAAAGCATGTTTTTCTAATCACTACACCATCTAGACTAGCGACACAAGTAAAACAGAGCGTTATGTTAGATTCTGTCATGTATGTTTGCCGCTCCCTTTCTTCACAGAGTAATTGTAACAAATAGAGTTTTGAAGGTCCGAAAGAGGCCCACATATTGCACTAAAGACACAGTGCAACCTACCCTGCTGTAGCTTTGTCATAAATTAAGGACACTTCTGGGCAGTTTAGGACGTGTGGGAAACTGCTTTATACAAAACTGCTGCTTATCTATTACAGTGACTGACATTGTAATCATTTATAGGCAACCTTTAGTTTTGGGGTTTTCTAATAATACCATATCATGTTAATAGTCTCTAGAATAAAAAAAAAGCTGAGGCAAATAAAACACTGTTACATACAGTAAACAGTCAAATCACACATATGCCATATAGTTGTTTCCCTGTGCCATTAAGCAAAGGATATCCACATTTAGAAAATGGATGAGGAAATATTCATTCAAACTGAGGAATCCTTTGCCTAATGGCTTTAGTTTTTCAGCATGACTTTGTATGTAATACATGTACAGGACCTCTAGTGGAAGTTAAGTGATTTCTACAAAATTAAAGTATATTCATTAAAGCTTCTAAGGACACAATAATGGGGTTTGAGAAACAGGGTACTTTATGTCACTGCTTTAACTGTAATGACAGAACAACAGCCTCTTCCAGTCTGACCGCCCAGCCGAGGCAGTGGACATAAATACTGAGGTTATTAATTTCTCGTCATCAAACCCATGTTGTTCTCAGCCAAAGAGACAACGATCCCTTCCACTTTTCTATTTCGGAATTCCCCCAGAGAAAAATAGCTGGGGAAGCTGCTTCAAGCAAAAGTAAACAAAAGAAGTGACCTTGCAGCTCTCTGTATCTCTATCTGATGCAGTTTGAATCTATATGTAGCAGGAACAAAACCCACACTGACATCAAATGGATAACGATTCAACTGCATTGCAACTATATGCGTCTGGTTAGTATTTTGCCAGCAACAAGTGCTAAAAATGTTTAATGGCATGGTGAAAGGATTATATGACGAAAGTGTTCATCCTCAGAACTGCACAACAGTTGTGCAATTACACTTCGGAGTGAAATGACCAAACTGTTTTTAAAGCGTGAGTGTTGTTGAATAAATGTGGACAAGGAGGAGGTTCCGCAGCTGGAGGTCGAGCACAACCAGACTAAAGAACAGTTTTTTTACACCAGGCTGTCAGGAGGCTGAACTCTCCCCCCCACCCCTCCCCTGCCCCCACTGGACTATAACTCCCCAAACACACACACACTCAAATCCAGCAGAAGACACTTTTTTTTACGCTGCTACGGACAATCTGCAGCAAATGCACATTTTATGGACAATCTTGCACCAAAGATATTGATATTGAAGTGACTGTTATTTGTATATATTGTATGTTGTGTTTTTTTTTTTATCTTAATGTGTGCATATCTCTAAATGTGTGTTCATTGTGTATATAGGATATACATATTTTATACATATCTGTATACTGTATAATTTTACATTCGGGATTGTTGTAAACGTCATTTTGATCTCTCTGTCTGTAAACACAAACTGAGTCAGATTGACATTAAAGTTGACTTTGACTTGAATGCAAGAGGAAGGTAAAAATATTGTGAAGGATGTGGACTTAGAGAGTGACGCGGGGCTGCAGCAGATTTAGACCACAATGATGTCAGCCTCTCGCAGAGATGACAAGTCAAGTGGCATCCGTCAAGCAAGACAAATAATCGTTTCGGAAAGACCAAACATGATACCTAGATATGCCTCACAGCTGTTAATAGACTGGCTGGAGACAGCGGAGCTCATGTTTGCAGCACAATGAGTTTCATCATTGCTGGTGATTAATGTCCCGGCACAAGATGACGTGAAGAATCAAAACTCACCAGGATTTGGAAGCCGTAGTTCCTCTGGACCGGGAACTCTTTGACATCATAACAAGTGGAGAGGTCGATCTCACCATCCATTAATGAAGCCTAGGGAAAAAAGACAAATTACAACAAAAGCCTTTTTATTTGCATGTTTATTCAAAATAAAAGCACACAGTCTCTGGAAAATGTGTTTTACCTCCTCGGCTATTGAGTCCTTGTAGTATCGCAAATTCTGATCAGTCAGGACAAACCAGTGTTTCTTCCACTAAAGGGGAAAAGACAACATAAATTGGATGAGTATATGGTTCATCCAGTAGAAGCCAATGTAATTCAATCCCTCAAATAAAAGTAAAATACCATCCCATCTTCGTACAGCTTTGTCATCCATCCTTTTTTGAAGTTCAGCAGATCTGGCTGCAATGAAGACAGAATAGAGTGATGTGATATTATGTGATGCTACTACATGAACTCATTGAAAGTAAAAGGAAATTCAGCTACCACTTGGACGCCATCTTTGATTAAATATCAACCACATTGATACAAAAAGGATTGAAATAAAGTATCTTTTGCTTAAGCATTTTTTCCACATTTGTCACTATATTTAAAGTCCTTACTAAGAGCTTTTATCACTGATGCAACTAGAATACATAAACGACATCTCCATATGCACTACTGCAATTAAATGCATTTGTTTACATATAGGTCACCACCTCAGCCTAAAGAAGAAAAAGTGCAGATACGTGGCTCCAGCTAAAAAGACCGACTGGCGGGAGCTGGACTTTCCCTGTGAAACACAAACTGCTGCACATTGAAACCAAGCTCAAGTCTGTTTATAGACTCTAAAGTCAAATCACTGGTCCAAAAGCCTGGCCTCTGCTCACTCAACAGTACCTTGTTTTTGCTGAGCTTCATCCGGTGTGGAGTCACGGCCTGGCAGAGAGTCATTCTGATGGCTAACTGCCTTCACTGCATATGTTGACAATCTGTGTCTTTCCTTCTGTCCCGGGGACATACACACGACTGAGGCTGCCTCTGTGTCGGCTATTTATAATTATCAGTAGCGTGTGCGGCCGTGGTGTGTACACGAATGTGTGTGTGTTTGAGTGGGCGGGGGTTCGGGCAGCTGCAGTTCGACCACACACTGACTGGATCACCCCTGCAGCACTGAGCAGACCTAGGATCAGTCGCAGTGTGTCAGACTGTTGGAGTCAGAGTCAAGAAGATACCAGAGCAACCTTAGGCAACTTTAGGGCTTCTTTAATCTCACTTGGGAAGACTTTGCTAATATAATATTATTATATGCGGACATGGACGATGTTTACGGATATGGATACTTCAAGTTTCAAGTAACTACACGGACCATATCAATAAAATTAAGCAGTGCAGATGCAGAGAAGACAACCAAAGAAAGCTTAGTGTAATGGGTTCAATCTTTGCTGCAGCACTTCTGATTGGCAGTTTCCATTGCTGGGAAGGTATCTGTGCATCCCAATCTTTAATCACAAAGCACTTTAAGGGGACCCTGACATGATTTCGTAGTCCCCTTGTTGACATTTGAGATGTGTGATCAGTACTTACAGTCATGGAGGACTCGGTGACTCTGCGGTCCAGAGACTTGGCTCTTCTTAAGTTAGCAAAAGTGGAGCTGGACACATCAGGGACTGAACGGTCCTTTCCTGCATCCAGGGACAGGTCCTTTAAAGATAAAATGTTTATTAGAATTTAGAAGTATTCCTTAAACTGAGGAGATTTGTATACATATGCCATTCACCAAATTATTTGAAATGTGTTTAGAAAAGAGAAATGCATACATGTTTACTCGCCAGATAGCGCCTCTCGCTGCGGCCTTGTCTCTGGATTAGCGTGGGGTTAGCCGAGGGATCATTGGAGCCGCTTGTGTCCATGTGCTCTTCAGACTGACCTTCCTCGAATCGGCCAATGACTTGAGAACGTCTAAGAAACACAAAAGGACCATTTTGTTACAAAGACTTACTCAAAACACAACAGTAAACAAAATCTTACTCAACACAAAAGTATTGTCGGGCAATAAGTGAAATATCATTACATAGTGCAGCATAAAAAAATAACAGTTCGTAAAAACCACAGCCAAATGGTGGCAGAATCAGCATAAGATCAAGAACATAAGCATGATTAAAAAAGTACATTTGAGTCAAAAACAATCTCCGTAATTGATCATTTTTTGTTAATTGTGCAGAATGAAATGCAGCCATTACTGCCCAACAGGTAGATACAACACGTAGGAAGTTTGGACATCATTTTAGACTCAAAGTCCCTTTCATATATTACAATGTGCAAGGTAGAGATAACATCCCAAATGAGAACAATCCAGAAATACATAAATGAATAAAGATTAGGTGTTATATGATGAGAGATTAAAAAGGGAAAATGACTAGGATGGTGGATTAAACAAATTGCAGAAGTAGAAGCAGTGGCCACAAAGTCGGTGTTACCTTAAGACTCTGCACGTGTTATTATGTGTGTTGAGCGTGTGTGTGTGCACCAGAAAGATACAGATCAGACTGTATGTAAACCCGCAGTACCAACCACCAGTATGCTTGTGTACCGTATACATAAATCATATATATGAAACAGTGTGTGTGTGCTCCCAGGCAGTGCAGAGATGAAATGATAGAAAGCAGGAATCAGCGGTGACCAGCAGGGAACAGCTGTGGGACAGGGGTGGAGGGGTTGGTTGAGCATTTGCTCAGAGAAGCTCAGTTCAGTAGCCTCCTGGAAAAGATTGAAACGACAAAAGAAACTAGGAAAGTAGCAAGAGCAGAAGGTAAAAGATCAATAGAAAAGAAAGTAAAACATGCATATGCATCCCTAAATCATTAATGGCAAACCACTGTTAAGCTAGTTGAAGCAGAAATAGCAAAAGATTGAAACGCTGAATGCATGAGATTCAGATTATAAATTAAATGCCATCTAGATGTTTTAAAGGTCACCTGTTATGCAAAATCCACATTTTCATGTCTTGTATACATCAACATGTGTCCCCTCTGTGGAAAGAGATTCTGAAAGTTTCAGGAAAAAAGATATGCTCACTTTTTGTCCTGATCCATTTATATAAAAACCTGTCTGAAAATGAGCTGATCAGATTTTGACCACTTTATGATGTCATAAGGTTTTCTTTGGGGTTTTGTAACCATTAGCCAATCACCAACCAAGGTAACCCCAGCCCACCTTATCACCTGAATCTCCTCCTAGAGCACCATTGTGTTCTTTTTAACCAAATATCTCTCAGAGGGGCGTGGCTCCTTATTTTCATCTAAAGCACATGTGTCAAACTCAAGGCCCGGGGGCCAAATCAGGCCCTTGGTGGATTTAATTTCGGCCCGCAGGATAATTTCTAATTACTATTAGATCTGGCCCGCCGCTATATTGCACACATACCTTCACTCCATCCTGAGGGTCTCCTCAGCTCAGAGCCTGACCCCAAACGTTGATGAACTTGCACCCAAGATGAAATGCCAAGTATCTGGTCTGAACTAGCATCACAGAGCAGCACACTGAGTTTCAATGGATGTTTCCTTTTGCACTTTTTTTCTTGAGACAACAGGGCATGTTTGGTTTTTCTTTGAGGGAAATTGTTTTTCTGAAGCTGTTGTTGGCCTGTGGAAAAATGTAATCATAAAAAATGACTCTGCAGATAGAGCCATAAGAAATTAATGCAACTGATTATTTAATGTTGTTTTTATAAGCAATAGTTTAAGCTTTGTTAGTTCCAGGTTTAATATGTGCAATAAGTTCATCTTCAATACGTTTTGCAATAAACATNGGTGGAGTTGGTGTGTGTGACGGTGGGTGGGCAAGAGCGTGGTCGGTACTGGTATTTCTACCCTGTCACATCGCGTTAGTGTTCAACCAAGCACAACTGCTGAGCACACCACTCTGGACAGCTCTGCACACACGGGGTGAAACACACACACACACACACACACACACAGGTTTAAATTCACAAGGACTCACACTTGGGTGCGCACACACACACACACACACACACACACACACACACACACACTGTAACCTCCCATGAGGACCACAAGGACATCCAAAACAAGTGAGCACCGGTGGAGGTTTGACAGAAACAAGGGGAGAGTGCTCAACCTCCCAACTTTACTTCCATCCATCCTTCCATTTATCCAACATTACAGCACTGGATGCATGCCATCAGCCATCAGTGGGTACAATCATCACAGACAAATATGGATTTCCCTTTGCAATTCCCTGCACTCTAAATGGAAAGAGAATATATTGGATAAGGATAAATCAGAACCACATGAAGTCTGTCATTCCCAAAACATTGTGTATTCATGTTGGGAAAATATTGCAACCTGATGTGCTTGGCTCTGCGGTTCAGTAATAACGGATGTATCTTGTTTTGGAAAGAAGCTTTTCAAACCCAGATGTCCAGACTGCACAGAGCTACAAATAAACCATAACAATTTACTTTACCGCCGCCGAACTCATCGCCGCACTGGGGCGAAGAGAGCAGCCAAGAAGCATCATCGTCATCAAACAAAGCTATTGTGTCAGCGGGGGCAGAGCAGTCAGCTCATCCACTCTGTATCACTATGCAACATGCTTAAGTGGGCCGAGCCCAGGGGCTTTTTGCACAATATTTTCCTCGAGAACATAAGAGAAGAAGGGGGGATGAAAGATAAAGTGAGTTTAGATGACGATGCACCATTCATTTTACGCCCTCGTCCTCCCCCTCCAGGCACGGAATAAGGAAAGATGAGAAAAAGGAATAGAGGCAGCAAGAATATTTGACTGTAAAATGCTGCACTCACACTGTGCCCCCCCCCTGTGGCAAGGGAACGAGAGAGAGATGGGGGAGGGTAAAAATGGATGGATCGAGGAGGAGGGGGAGATAGAGTGAGGTGTGATGTGCGGTGACCCGAGCTCTTCGGTGACGCCATAAAGTTAAGGGCACGCTTCATCGGCTTTGAGCGAGGAGAGAGATGTAAGCGGTGTTTGGCCACCGGCTAGTGGCGGGCCAGAGGTCAGCAAATACACATAACGTATCGTCAGCACTATGGGTCACGCAGGTCACGGTTACATAACTGGGTCTGGATCACACAGCACACTTCTGTTTACATTCATATTCTGGTGCGTGTTATCACTATAAGAATGCATTCACACCAAAGCAGGAATGTTAATGTAATTCTGTATTCTGTTTACACCAATGTTGTTGCGTGATTTCTTTTCATTGTGAGCCTATAGCTCATACAGACTGGGGAAACAGCTAGCTTGAAGCAATGGAGTTAACACAGGGTAACAGGGTTAGAAATGAAATGCACAAAACATAGTTCATTGCATTTTTTGGAAGTTATATGTGATTACCTGCAGGTACAAGCAGGCAGGCTACATATCAAGGTAAAAGGGGAGTATCAGTAGTTCCAAAGCAAAACAAACAAACAGCAAGGTTATCCTAGCTGCTATGCTGCTTTGATGGTATGACAGAGAATGGATGGTGCTGGTATATGAACTGAGAGGCTGATAAGGGAATGAGACGCAGATGAGCAGGGCATATTCAGGGCTAATGAGGAAAGACAAAACAGGTGTGCAGATTGGTGGTGCAGTAGGAAAAAAAGGAGGGAAAGTACGATGGCACCTAGTGGATGGATGGAAAATGGCCGAAAAGAGGCTGGCAGACTTTGGTGTGGCCTGGCTTTGTCCAAAAGTAACACATCTGCCTGCTTTCACATCTAATACTAAACACTGATCAATAGAGTTATAGTGTGTTAAGCTAAGCTGATTGTAGCTTCATATTTAATGTTCCTTGGGACCCTGACCCAATTAAATGTAACCCATTATTAAGCTAATTTGTTTTTGGCGATATGCACCACTAAAGGACAGTAATCTACAATGAAAAAGACTGCAATTACAATTTTGTATGCAGTAGAAACGAGGTCAGAACAAAACATTGACATAGATATGGTCACCTTTTTAAATGATGGATTGCATACATGTTAGCAAACAGTTGTTTGTGTATGCATCCGGCAGAAACATTGTAATTTATTTAGATGTTTCTGTTCACATGGAGAATGAAAATCTAAGGGAGATATCTCGCTCTTTAGCTGCTCAAAGCTTCACTGTGTTCACAAGATTATTACTAACTGTCTGCTGTTTGGTGCAGCTGATGGGTGCCTAAAGGTTGAAGGATACATAATAAGATAAGATAAGGAGAAACTGGAAGATCGACACGAGCCTGCACCTCGTATTTGTGATTATGTGGGTAAAATGGACACAGTGTTCAGACCCCCATCACCCCAACCACAAACTGTTCTGTCTGCTGCCGTCTGGCAGGCGGTACCGCAGCATCCGGACTAAAACCACCAGACTCAGGGACAGTTTCATCCCACAGGCCATAAGACTATTAAACACCTGAAGTTTGAAACAACATCCATAACATTCATCTGGCTGCAATTTACAAATTATGTATCTAATATATCATATTCCAATCTTATATTACTTTTTTGTTTTTATTGTGTTTATTGGAGGAGCCTGTGACCTAAGATTTCCATCGTCATAATTACACTGTAGCTATGTACCTATCACTAATAAAAGCCTTGAACCTTGAACCTTGAATAATGCAACTGTATTGCAGCATAATCTAATTTGAATGTTTCCAGGCAGTTGATGCTAAAAGTGGTGAAGAGGTTATTTCCAGGCAAGCATACTAATAATAAAACCTTTCTCAATAAGTATTTCAATCTTTCAAGGGAATTCATCTGGAAATCAGCTACCACTTTTAGCGTTGTTGTATAATTTCCTGTTTTTTTTTTAACTTTAAATATGAGTCTGCATTTACCTTGTATACTTCGACAGGAAATTGTATCTGTTATTTGAAATGATGAGTCACACATTCATATTTCCAGGAAACTGTCTTTGAAATGATGAAAACATCAAGAGAAAGTCAGTTGTGTTGCTCCTAACTTAATCTTGAATTATCTTTATTGAGTCACAAGATTATCCAGGCCAGTAAACAAGCAGCTTTATTTGCTAAGAGTCTGGCACTGTGCCGCAAGTAAACCAAATCAAACAGTAATTCACGGGAGTGAGCTGCTAATGTTTGGAGCAAGAAAGCTAAGGTTGTCAGGTATCATCCCTGCATGACTTAGCAGAAAGTGAGATGTAGAGACTTTGTGGAGCTGTCAGTCAGCTAGGTGTGTACAGAGAGGGCCTCAAAGGCACAAAGTGGGGACACAGGTGGAGCACAGGGAGCCCCTGAAGTGTCTCATTGAAGGTGAAGGGAAAATTGAAAAAGGAGTAGGAGGAGGAGGAGGGATAGACGCAAATAAAGATGTTATCACTTCCATCTCCTCCTCCGTATTGGTGTGAAGGGAGTCGGTGAAAACAGATGGCCTACATTTTCTTTGAGATAGACTCCAGCAGCGAGGCCTCCCCTGATCCAGAAGAGACAGAGTGATGCATGTAAAAAGGAAAAAACACAAAGAGATTCTGATGGAGATGACATAGGAAGTCAGAAACAGGAATACTTCCAGTTTGACAGGGAAATGTGGCGACGCAGGCAGACAAAAGGAAACAGGGAAAGTTTGATGGTAATCCTCTTCCTTCCTTTCCCTCTTGAGTAGTTATATAAAACACATCTAGAATTCTGTACCACGCACATCAAAGAGCCTGAACCGCTTTGCAATCTGCATATATGATGCGTCCAGGGAATAGCGGGAGGTGCGTGTGTTTCTGGGAGGATCTTTTGAGTCAAAAATAAGCTTCTTTGGAGAGTAGATAGCTTTGTGTGTAGATGAGCCTCTTGGATCTGTCTTCAAACAACAATTGCATTTTTTTCTTACTACATTAATCATTAAAAACAAAGAACTTCAATAGTTTTTTTCAATTGGCTTGATAATGTACATTAAATACAGTGGTGTCATGCAGAGGTCTTAAGAAAAAAGATCTGCCTCTGGTGAGTCAAACTTGGCAATGCTGTCAGTGAGATATTTTGGCTGTAAATGAAGTCATCTTACTGGAAATGAAAGCCTAATAGTTCAAATAATTCAGACATCATTTTCTGATCCACCACTGCCACCTGCTGGAGACAAAATGCACCTCAGAGGAGAATGATGGGGGTGCTGCTAATGCAAGATTATTTGCTTAATACTGTGTTATCTCAACATTTTCTTACAAAACATTTTCCAGTCAGATAATAGATAATCAGAGTGTAAGATGGATTGTCCTCATAATTTTGTACTGCAAAGGTTTAAGATATTTTAGTCTAAAAGCCTATGTTGTGGCTGAAACATTTCCATTGAAAGTGAAAACCACCTCATATTGTGAAATTCTTTCCAAACAGCAAAGTGAAGCAAAGATAAGAAAACACATTTTTGACTGAAGGGGAACTTTAATATTCATGTATTGCAGGTGAAACGTGATAATATGAGGCAGGTTTGATTGAAGTCTTTTTCATCATAGGTAGGACAACATTTACAATGCAATGGAATTAACGTTGTGCAGGAGGAACAAAGCAACAATGCCATTCAGCTTGTTTCTGACATGAAGCAACAACAGTTTTATATAATAATAATAATAATAATCAGAAAAAAGCTGTGTGAAAGTCACCATAGCCTACTTCATCACATTCATTGCACTCATATAGTACCAATAAACTATCCAGCCATGTGAAAAGTAAATTAGTGTAGGCCTATAAGGTATAGCATTACAAGAAATATAACCCATGAATTATGGTCATGTTAAACATGGAGGTAATGTCAAACCTGAGCAACCACTGCTGCTAAACTTATAATTCCTTAACTGATATGTTAATGCCTCATTATATAATATAATGTGGTCACACCATCTAACCATACTTAAAGAGAAAGTTTCACATTTTGGGAAATAATCTAATTTGTTTTCTTCTTGAGATATATTAATATGACTCTCCAATGTAGCTTAGCTTTGCACAAAACCGAAAGGGCTAACAGCTAGCTGCAGATAGCAGGGATTGGCTAGAAACCGTAACATTGTTTTTACACACTTTTGGTTTTTTTCTGTGGGTAACACAAGTGAAAAGATAGCCTTTATGTATAAAGTGTTGATAGGTAGCTATCGATCAAATTAAAGTAGCTGTTTGTTTCCCTGTTTCCAGTGTTTCAGTCTAAGCTAAGCTACTAAACTACTTGGCTACAGAGTGCCCTTGAGCCGCTTTAACTGTAAGAAAGCAGATAATTTAACCCATAAGAATCCGGACCCATTTCTACTTTTGGAAAAATGAAGGGGAACATAATGTAGACTAAATGGACCACCTAGAACACATTTCTGACAAGTTGAGAGGGGGGGGCTTATGGATACAGAGTTGAAGAGGTGGGTTTTGAGGCAGGACTGTCACATGTGTTATTCTGGCACATCGACATCTTGGACATGTTGTTTTGGGAACACGAAATCAAATGACCTGGACCATGACCCACCAGACTGTTCAGGGTGTGTCACTTAGGGACTTCGTATAAGGAACTTTCCTGAACATTTAAAGGTCATGTGACACCTGTGTCCGTGGGTCCTTATGGGTTAAATCTAATATGTCAAAAAGATTTTTCACAATAATAAAGAAAATATAAAATGCTACCATGTTTAGCCTTCAATCATTGTGCGTTTAAATCTCTTTTCTCGAAAGTGTAGAGAGGTGGAAAGAAAGTTTTTAAACCTAACTGTACAAAAGCATACACAATGAGTGTGTGTATCAAACATTATTTGTGTATTTAAATATCAGGCTTGTCAATACGGTATATTGTGACATCCCTAATTCCGTTTACATTTCCCTTAGTGTACAGATTTTGACTTCAATCAAGGGTGTGTCTGATGGAAGTACAATCAGTTCTCTTTCAAACAAAGAGCAATCAGTGTTAAACAACTCAATCAAGTTTAATCCTGTTGTTTCCCCTCCTGAAGCATTTACGGTCTGTAATGATTCATGAGACCAAACAAGTCATCAAGTGTTCAAAGTGCAATCAGTTCTCTCTCGTCTTTGCTCATTTCCTTCTCTTATGACTGTCTCCTAAACACTTTATCATGATGTCTCCTTCTACCATTAACAGTGAGATGCATGTATGTGAAATGCCATACAGTAATTACTTATATAATAATAACATTGAGTAAAAAACAAGTGATCGCACCATAACAAATCAAGTTTGTCTCACACCATGAATGCCTTGCTGCTCAAATATCTTCCACCCCTGCTTTTGTGTCCAATGCTGGAGCTTTTCCTACTCGTGTTGCTCCTCACTGTTCCTCCTTTATGCCTCATGCTGCCGCGCAGGCTCTCCGACACAGTCTTTTCTTCTTTCTCAAAGTTGTCAAGGTTCTGGTGCTCCGGGGTCGGGGTCGGAGGGCTTGAGCAGCAGAACCACTTGATGGAGCCGTAGAAAAGTTCCACACAGCTGGAAATCGCCGATATCAACCCTATGGCAAAGTAGAAGCGGAGGAAGATGGTTTTCTCTGCAGGGCGGGAGGTGAAGCAGTCCACAGTGTAGGGGCAGGGGAAGCGGCTACATGGGAACTGGGCCTCCACCGTGAATCCATACAACATCCACTGGCCCACGAGAAAGCCGATTTCTGCCAACATGCGGAAGGCCACGTTGATCATGTAAAGCCCCCTTAAACGGAGCTCTTCTCTGTAGACTTGGGTCTTATTCTGGCTGGTCCTCTTGTTGTTGTGATGCATGGCATACATGAGGAAAACCAGGGAAGGGGTGGCGATGAGGACGATGTGAAACACCCAGAATCTGTACTGGGAGATGGGGAAGGCCATGTCGTAGCACACCTGTTTGCAGCCCGGCTGGAGGGTGTTGCAGGCAAACTCCTCTTGCTCGTCGTCAAACAGGTCACTGGCTACAGTTCCCAGGATCAGAATCCGAAAAACAAGCATCAACAAGAGCCAGAAACGTCCAAGCATCGGCGAGTGGACCTGGAGGCTATCAAAGAGACCACCGAGGAAGCCCCATTCCCCCATGATTGCAGCGCTGTCTCGGGTATGGCTTCTTGAAAGTCTGGAGATTTATCCAACAGTCCTTCTCAGAGCAAAAGCTGTGTGGTTAAAGAAAGAAACTGAAGAGTATCTTATTACCTCCAATTTACAGCTCATTATGAAACTAATCCAACCAATCTAAAGGTCGGTCTAGGGTGCAAAAAGCTGTGATAGGATTCAACGTTGAATAACCTGAAACCATAAAATAAACATGATTATACCTCTTGAAATGACAGCAATTTAGGCAGTTATTATAAGAAATAAAACAATAAAATAGGTCTCAGGTAAACTCTTTCGGTTTTTGTTTCACACCTTATCTTAAAGACATTTTAAAAGAGTTGAAACCACATGACATCAGTGAAGTACAATTAGTACTTTCCACACATTTTACCTTTACTTTTAGACAACAGTTAAGACAAGTCGAACATTTTACCCAGAAGAAGCATTAAGAACAAAGCAAATGGATGACAACATGTTAGGTCTTATGGATTTCATTAACCTAATGCAGAGATATGAGAAACCTACCCTTTCTGATAATCCTTTAAAATCCTATTTTGTTTTTTTCTTGATTGTCTTGTCCCACTTGGATATGTCCTCAGATAAAAAGGGATTTCAAAAATTCAATTGGTGTCCAAACACGCGTTATGCTCTCGCGAACACAGGCACATATTCCTCACTTGCCCCAAATGGCCTGTTGTTGGAGTATGCCGGTATAATAATTGAGAGGGCGGTTACAGTTAAGGAAATGCCTGCTACGTCCTAATCTGTGCCGATCAAGAAGTGATGTTTACCCAAGAAAGGAAAAGTCTTGATGAGCATTTCAAAGAGCTTCCTAAATGGCAGGAAGAACTGTACCAACAGTTTCCCCGGCCAAATTAGACAACATGCAACTCTTGAAAAGCAACCTTTTGATTCATTTTACATGTACTTCATCCAGTTAGCAGTACATACACATGCCAATCTATATTGAGCTTAAAGATCAAGATTGTAACTCTAATGTATTCAATACAATTATTGTTTCCTATTGTTTGTATGACTTTATTTTACTAGATAAGAAAAAAATACAACTGTAAATGAAGTTTTTTTTAAAGCTAATTCCTATAGATTTGGAAAGAATGGTTCCTACCTATCCAAATATTTAAATAACCTGAAACCTGTTGTTCTCTTTAAAGGACAGAGGTGCCAACAAAGGCCCAAGTGTATAACAGTGTAGCAAGATGTATGATTACCTAGAAGAGAAGCATGACACACTGTTTTAGGCATTTGATAAACTAGAAGACTTAAGATGATGACTCAGCCTCTAGGGAGATAGGCATAGGACGAGCATGATCATTTCTGACGTGGGCCTTAGCTAATCTGAACAAAACATTGTATACTGCTTTGAATCGGTACTTCTCCATCTTGTGTCGGTGTAACTCCCTCTCTTGTATATCAGCATGTGAAGGACACTGTTCAGGAACTAGTTGTACCAAATGCTTTGTGTCGACTACTTCCATTCTTGCAAGAATAATAAATACATGTATCCCATTTTGAGGCTCAGCCACTTCAGACTCTATGCATTACATTAATGCACACAATGTTTTTTATTTTATTACTGCCGAATTTTTTATTCCATATTTTATTTCTATGTAAATACTGATATATTTGTTATTATCTTTTATATTTTTTTAATGTTATCTGGGTTTTTAATTATTTATTTTTTTAATAATGGTGTTTTACTTTTATTTACATGCAACATGACATCAAGTCAAATTCCTCATACGCGTCAATCTACCTGGTAATAAACCGGTTTCTGATGCCGGTTAGAAGTGAGATTTCTCTAACACGTGGTATATGCAGGAATCCTGAAGTCAGATGTAATCCCACTTTAAGACCCTTTCCATACATTTTAAGACCTCATCGCCACTTGGAGTTTTAACCGGTTACCTTGGCGACACACTTTACCTCACATTGACTATATACAGTATTGATTGTCCTTCCTCCTCATCTTCCAACCATTTGGACGCAGACTTGCATTTCTCCATAACGATGTTGTTTAACAACCGGCGTAAACGGACCTTCGCGCGCTATCAAGCAGTGAGCGTGCGATGTCCTGTTCAGATGACCTCAAATCCAACGGGATGCCATAAATAAACTACACAGAATCACACTACACACCTACGCAATGATTACATTCAGGCAGACTGTAGAATACAACCTCTTTGGACCATTTATATACTTATTGAAAACAAGCTAAAAATGTAATACCTTGGAAAATGCCGTTTAATAGCCTTCATTTTCGCTAAATTGATTTATCAACTTTGTGGGGTCAACACCATCCCACTAAATATACCCTTCTATCCTCCTTTCACTTCCTTATGACATTCCAACATGGAACACCTAATTTGTGCAGACAAATGATAAGTCTGTTAGCAGCAAAGAAGAAACAACACCAAGCAAAATGAACAATCAATACAAACAAAAAGTCAACTTTATTTTTCTAAATGTTAAAAGAACAGCCATTGAAATATTTACAGGACAAGACAACACACAAAGGACTGGATTACAAAAAATACATACAAAAATGCCATTAAAAAAAGACTTTCAAAGAAGTTCAATACAGTCATACGAGTAAGCATTTTTTTTGTTTCTTTTTTTTAAAATTTTTGACAGGATGAACATTTTTTGCTATAATAAACGAGATATGTTTTAGGGAATGCAGGAATGCAGGCCTTTTTAAGCCAAAAGCAATCCTTCAAGTGATAAAAGATGACGTCATATTAATCACACGGCATAAACAGTTTAACTAAGAACCTGTCTTTAATACAAAATCTAAAACTGACTTGAGTCCGAGTCCGAGTCCACTTTGTAGACAACAGCTTTGCGAGCACGTGCGGGCACCTCTCGCACTGCCGTGGCAACGGGAGCCACTGCTTCCTGGTCTGAAATATTGAAGTTCTCGTCCTCGTCCCACCTTTTGGTTTTCTGCAAGGAAAGAGAAAATATTCAGCTTTAATTAAAATATACCATTCGGGTGCCCAATCCCAACTCCACCAGTCTAACATTAAAGGGGCCCTATTATGCTCACTTTGTGGTTAATCTCTGTATTTATTGCCTCCACTCTGACATGTCTTCATGCTTTTATATTCAAAAAGCTCTTTATTTGTCTCATACTGCAGCACATCTTTTCCCCCTCTGTCTGAAACCAGAGCCCAGCCTGCTCTGATTGGTTAGCTGGCCGGCTCTGTTGTGATTGGTTAGAGATGTCCCGCGCCTTTGCCTATCACGTACAATGTGTTGGAGCACTAGCCAATAGAAGCTAAAGTATTACATAGTGATGTCACAATGTTACGGAAGAAGTAAAGGAGTCCACTGGAGAAAATGTTTAACTATTAAATAAAACAAATCAATGAATAGTTCGAAAAGTGTCAAAGAACACCTAAAAGAACTAATGAATGAATCATCAGGACTTATGATCAATTAACCCCTAATGACCTTTCAGAGTAGGAACTTACCTTGCCGGCAGTTGTTTTACCCTTCAGACGTGACATGAGGTCGCCCGAGCTGTCGGAGGAGTCGTCGTCGTCGTCAAGGACCTGTTTCCTCTTGACAACGGGCTTGGGCTTGGCCTTGGCCTTTGCAGCTTTGGCCTCAGCTTCCGAGTCACTGGAGTCAAACGACGGGAAGTTCTCGGCAGCGGTTTTCGATACCGGTTTCGATTTGGTGAGAGAATCCATGATGGATGGCTGCCTCACATCGAGCACTATATCAACAGAAGAAATAACATTGCAGGTCGGTTAAAAAGCATTTTACTTTTCTCTTTTAGGCATCATGCACTTTAAGGATCCAACCTATCCAAATGTGCATACCAGAAATATGACACATGAGGAAAACTAGTGTTGCATAACTTATTGGTACCATTTAATGAAAAATTAAATAATGATTTTATTGCCATTACACATTTGTACTTAACTTTTGTTTATACAAATATTATTATTCCATTTATTTTATACTTTGAATGCAGTTTGACCTTTAACATTTTGATTAAAATATTTTATTCTATTTTCTCGTAGCCTCGTATTGCACATTTTTCTTAAAATATTGTTTATTAAAAAAAAATAATTCTATTTCAAAATGGAGTAACCATCCACCAAACTGAACAAATGAAGTATTCTGATTCTGAAAACAGCGTTGATAAAACATTCAAAAGTTCACCATGAACCTGTCTTTAAATCTGTGGGACATAAACCACACTGAGCTGTTCCTAATTCGGCTGACTCCAAAATACCTGGAGACTTCTTTGCGGCCGGCTTCCTGGCAGCAGCAGGTTTCTTCGGGGCGGCTGCTTTGGGTTTACGTTGAACTGGAGCTTTGGGAGCAGGCACCGCATCACCTGATTGAGCTGCAGAGCATCGCAAAGAGAAATAATTAAAACTCTGACCTGGGGCCCGACAGTTCTCCAGCTCACATGTCGTTAATATACTCACAGCTCGACTTGGCCTGAGCTGCTTTAGCTGCCGGTTTGCTTATTGCCGTCTTCTTCCTGCATCGAAGGGATAAAGGGATAAATCAGAGTTAAAGGTAAATATTGTGACTGAAAAAAACGTCATACATCAAGTTATTTGTGGTTTATACTCACGCTTTTGGGGGAGGGACTGGAGAGTCCACTTCCCTGTCGGCCATTGGCTCCGGGAGAAAGCTATCATCATCACTGATAACGGCTTTACGTTTAGGAGCACTCTCCTTTCCCACGTCATCAAACTCATCTTCACTGTCGGACATGCTGTACTTCACCGGAGCTTGACAAACAAAAAACAGAAAGGTTTGATTTAGCAATCCTGCTTTGTGAATTTAGGTTAGAAGAAACAACATAACAGTTTGAACTGAAACAGGACAGCTCATTAGTCTCAGGAAATGCCTTTGATTTAAATAAGATGGAAAAGTGACGCGCAGGGTAATCGCAGTAATATTTGACATTCACCTTTAGATGCCCGACCGACCCTGGGGGCGATCTCTTCCTCTGAATCCATTTCATCGTCGGACATATTGTCAAACATGTCGTCCGACTCCTCGTCCGACTCCTCGTCCGACGCGCTCTTCTTGGGCTTCTTCCCCACAGCCTTGAACTGAAGAGTGCTCTGCTTGCCGGTCTTTGAAGCAGCTGAAGAAAAAGGTTTTTTTTTAAAATATATAATAAATTGCAACTCTTCAAAATAGTTTCAGATATTTAGGGGAAATCTAATAATTCACAGTCGATTGTTTTTGTTGTTAATGCTCAGATATTCCAGCCCCCCCTCTTGCTAAACTATTGATTGTGGGCTATCCAAAGAAAATAAAACATATTCAAATACAGCATTGAAGTCTGTTCAGGGTATATGCAGGAACCCTTAAGTCCAATGTAAAACCTTTTAAGACCTTTGTTAAGACCCTTTCCATACATTTTAAGACCTCATCGCCACTTCGAGTTCTAACCGGTTACCTTGGCAACACGCTTTACCTCACATTTACTATATACAGTATTGATTGCCCTTCCTCCTTATCTTCCAACCATTTGGACGCAAACTTGCATTTCCCCATAACGATGTTGTTTAACAACCGGTGTAAACGGACCTTCGCGCGCTATCAAGCA